GGCATGAGTCCTCCTTCGTGTCATATTCTTGAAGGTAGGCATGACATTTGCTTTCCTCCAGTCTTTGGGTATTTCTCAAGTTGCCATGATCAAAGATTATCAAGACTGGCCTCGCAAGGACTTTTGCCAGCTTCCTCAGCACTCATGGGTGCATCTCATTGAGGCACAGTAAAATCTGAGGCAAAAAGGCATTTAGTACTTTGGCCTTTTCCATATCCTGTGTAACCAGATCCTCCATCTCATTCAGCAGTGGGCCCACATTTTCTCTAGACTTCCATTTGTCACCGAAGTACCTGAAGAAGCCCTTCTTGTTGTTTTTAGCATCCCTGGCCAGATTCAATTCCATTTGGGCTTTGGCTTTCCTAACTTTGCTCCTCAGTGTTCAATGTCTCTGTATCCTCCCAGGATACCCATTCTTGCTACCACCCTCTGTATGTTTCCTTTGTAATGCAGCAAAAGCAAGGTGCAATAAAGGGTATTCCCTTCACTCCATGGAATAGTTACTGTCAAAAATTAACCTGATTAAACTCAATCCATTACCAAGATTGAAAAAATATAAAATCTGAGAAGAATTGTTATAAGCAGAGCATCCCTGTTACTACTCCACACTTCTAGAGAAGGCTAACAGAGAACATCAGGTGGCCCAACCCAGCCTTCTGTAGGTCAGCATTACACCTGGATTGAAACCAACGTATATGCATATACACACATCAAACACATGTATATACACATCAAACTGTATAACTGAAACCAAACTATATAATATAAATATCAGGTATTATATAGCATGTATAATAAGGCTTCTCTTTAAGAGCTAGTGAGGCCTTTACTTTGATGAATTAACATATTTTAGAGGGTGTGTATCTGATTCATGATTAAAGCTTCTATATTTCTAGCACCAGAAGAAATTAAACCAATTTGCTGATCCTGTAGGTAGCTTGGTGTTAGAAAGAAGAGTTGTTTCTTTTCACATGGTAAACCCAGTAACCAGAGGTGGAGGGGAATTAACCCACATCAAAAAAAAAGAACCAGTTTTCCTAAATGAAATTTTGTAATGTGAAAGAAATACTTTAAAGAAACTAATGAAGTCTAAATATTGCATCATAATTTGTCCTATTAATGTTGGTGTCATTACTTTAAAATACATGTTACTGTAGATACTATATTTTTCAGACATCTAAAGTAGGGCAAAAGGAAAGTGCCATAAAAACCAAACAGATTTATGACAGGGTGTATTTTCAGATGCAGAATTTTCTTGTGTAAACCCCAGGTTTACAATTATATATTACATATAGAGTGCAAGTTCTGTGTTTGAAACTGTCCGACAGTTTCAAGAAAGCTAATATATGTGTTTTGATTTTTGTGAAATTCAGAACATAGAAGATCAAATACACTCAATAACTAATGCTAAATGTCGATGACATACCAGCAGAAAGGAATTTTTTTCCCCACAAATATGGTATGAACAGAATGTGTTGGAAATAATGTCATTGCCCACAACAAGCTCTTTTCTCAAGAGCACATCTCTCCTAACAAATGTTGAAAGTGGGCAGTACAAGGGGTCCCTCTCCCCATTTCCATGCTTTGCTGTATGATCTGTACAGTTACCATTTTTGGGGCACTTAGGACTCTAAATTTAGGAGTCTAAATCCCAACTCTTGTCTTAAGTGGTAGGGTTCAGTTTAGAGGGTGCACAGCTCCCAGCAAGACTGGGAGAGAAATCCTAAGTGTCTCCAAAACATGTAAATGTGACATTCCCATCTACCCACGAACTCGTGACTGAGGTCCTGCCCTCCTTCCCCATTCAGCTCATGCAGTCTACACCCAAGAGACCTTATCCCACATCACTCTGTTCCCAATCCCAGCCCTGTGCCACCATGACCTTCACCACCCTTGTATTGCACATCCCCGAGGGTCCCTCTGGTGTACTTCACCCTCCTTCTGCATGTTGTCTCCTTCCCACATGAAGGGTACATCCATGACTTGTACATCCAATGTTGGATGGATGCAGCATTTTTATCTTTTTAGAAGTGTAGACCATATTTGACTCCACTTTGTCCTTCAGACAGGTCCAGGCTCAGCTACCTACAACTTCTCAAATGCATGAGAAAGGCCACTGTCTGCCATCCCCCGCTCATCCACTCCGGGCAAAAGCTCTGGCAAAGGTTTTCCAAAGGGCTGCACCAACATGGTGCTTGCCCTTGCTCTTTGCCAGTGCAGGACACCTCCACTGTATGTGTGGATGAAGTGAAGAGTCAAGAGGAGGTTGAAGAAAGCTTCCTGTTAAAGTTAGTATCTGCTCAGTATCTGCTCAGTAACATGTCTAAGTCAGAAAAAGTCTGTCATATATGACAAATTTGCTGATGTAATGGGCACATGCTTGCATTAGTGGTAAATAACTTAAGCCAAGTTTTCCAAAAGCAGTTGAAGATTTCGCATGTTGCAGTTCCTATTTGTCACTGCTTTGAACAAGAGAAGTGCAACCTCTCTGAAAAATCAGACTGACATCAAAACAAGTGGTTCCCAACATTTTTTTCCTAAGACTTCTGCCTGGCTTTCATACTCCTCAAAAGCATCCTGCGCACCCGTGGAAAAAAGCTGAAACTTCCTCCTCATAGCCAAGATGTATCATTCAGCTCTGCCAATGCTCATGTTTGGAGCAGCAGAAGCAGGCCAATGAAGTGTGTGCATTGAGCACTGATACACCACTGAGATTTCTAAAAGCATGAGCAGGACAAACCTGCAATCTCCTGCATATGCACAAATAAAACTAAAAGCCCAACACTGCTCACCTCCCGCTGGAATTTCACCTATTTGCACAGATTTTTAGGTCATCTCATTTACAAAGGTACACATCTGACCACGGGCAGCAAAATAAGCAACCAATTTTCAAAGAGAACAATTGCAAGTAAAACTTGTTACCCAGGGTGATGATTTCTCATCCACTCAGAGTATTTTTGACAAGAGGAAAAGTCCCATCTTCCCCCAAGTGCTGCTTCCTTAGAAATCTGCCCTGGCAGTTACAACCTGCTTCTCAAACACTCTGGTGTTTTGAATCCAAGCAAAAGCTTTGGCAGCTGTAAACTTAGCACGGGTTCGTTTTAAGTGATGAGAGGAAACAGACTGACAGTGAGCTGATTAGAAAGCTCTTAGAGCTCTCTCAGCTGAGTGGGAGAACAGGACAACTTTCTTCGTGTGTTGCCAGAGAGGGGACACGGGGGCTGCTACAGCCCAGCTTGCTGTCTTCTGCAAGATCATGAGGATGTGGGAAAAGACCATTTCAGGGAGGTTGAGCTGCCTTCACCAGTCTGCCCCTTCCTGACAGCCTCTGTTCTGAAGATAACGAGGGAGGAAATAGCAAAACGCTATGGTAGAGACTCAATGAATTTGCAGAGACAACTGCAAGCTGTTTCCTGGCCCCAGCCTTATCTGGAGTCCCAGAAAATAACCCTTTCTCTGAGGCCAATAAATAACCCATTATGACTGGGATGAAGTATCTGGTTAAATTTTTGCTGCTGAGGGCTGCGTAGCAGGATGTGCTTTCCACAAAGAACAGGACCAAGTGTGTTCCTAGCCGTACTCTGGTGCAGGGAGGAAAGGCTCTGCAGAATCCTCTCGCCAGGGGCAGGTGGGTTAAGTCAATGTTGTTTAAACACATGGCAGAAAATAAAGATGAAGAGATAGAATGGGAAGAAAGGGTTAAAAGGATGCACTCAAAAAGCCACGTAGATGTTGAATGAACAAAGCAGCAAGCATTAAAAATAATGCAGCAAAAAATAAAAATAAATACAGGAGGAAATTACTTCATTGCAGCCCACACTGCGTTATCAGTACAAAAGCTCTAGGAGCTGCTTTTCTTTCCAAAATGGCAGCTGACAGCTGATCTAAACAAAAGGTCATGAGGACAGTGAGAGGACAAGAGGGAGGCTCAGGGAAGGGGTGGATGGAAGATGCACCAGAACAGCGAGGGTTTAAAGCCACAGGCAACCACAGGTAGCCCCCTTCAGCACTCTGTAATGAGCCCCTGACATCCCTCTGAGCTGAAGAAGATGTGTCCTAGTTCAGATGTCATCTCTGACCTGTTACCAAGCAATGCCTCTGCTTATCACATGTCAAACTTCAGGGCCCAGCCCCCACATTTCACTAGAAAGCGACTTTCTGCTCTGCAGCAGCAGCCCCACCGCAGTGCCAGGGCAGCAGTTCCCCAAGGATGTGTATGCACAAAGAAGTCAGCAGAGAGGCTCTGAAAATTTCACACAATTTGGGTTGGTTTTGCATTTTCATTACAATTTTTATGCAGCTGTAAGAATATAGTGAAACATATGAGCATCCACCACATTACCTCCCTACCTGGCTTAAAGGACCACCCCTAGGGTATCTTCAAATTTACTAGCTACAGCCCTATTCTACCTCCGCAAGAAAATGACCTCTGTGAAGCAATCAACTTTTTGCTGGTCCCCTGAGCAGTCAAGAAGGCAATTTACACTGCAGTTCATTCCTGCTACCTTCATAAAGAAAAAAAAAGAGAAGGAAAAACCCCCTGCTCACTCCCAGCTACAAAACCAGTGGGGCAAAAATGCAGTTCAGCCGTATGGTGGTACCTATAAAACCAACTATCTTAGATGTAAGTTTGGTTTGGGGTTAGGAATTTTTTTCCTTTATGGTGAGAGAACTAGGAGTAATAGTCATAAATTCTTTCACTGAGTTTCCTGGGGTCTGAAAGACATCTGGGAGGATTATGGGAGGAATACAGTGTTCTGTAGCTGTTCTTGGAGCAGCCTTGATTTATGGTTCCATCTATAACTGCTGCAGTTCACCTGAAGCAGACACCAAAACCATCCCTGGAGTTGAGTGATGATGATGTCATAGTTCAGCAGCCAAACTCCATGCTGGGAGAGGCCATGGTCTGCTTTACCTTTCCCTTCCTTTGAAGGAGCTCACTTTATCATTTCCTAGCCCTGGGATGCAAGCCCCGTAGCCCCACTGTTACCTCTGTGGGACATGACTGTGGTTCGATCACACTTGGGAGCAAAGGTGGCAGTAGCGAGGTGCCCTGCTACCAGGGCAGAGGGCTGCCCTTCCTAAGACAAGAAGCACCACCAGTCCCTGTTGCAAAGTATCATGGAGAGGGTGAGCAAGGAGGACACAGTAACACAGCTGTGCCTTATAGCAGTGATGTGCTTTCTTATCCCTTCTCCTAATTTGGCTCTTTCCAAACTGCAGCCTAATGATGCTATCAGAGAAACCTTATCATAGTTTTGTTGAAAAGTAGTCCTATATTAAACAGGGATCCTGGAAAATGTTGAAGAGGGGGAGAAGGATTCATCAGCACAGGCAGACACATTTTTGCAGAGGCAGATGACCAGTTCTCCACAAAGCGTCCAGAGCTTTCATGGTATTCCCAGTTAGCCTTCATGCCTCTAGCTGACTTCCCATAAAAATGCTGAAGGGTCTTTGATCTCAGAGTACATGTCCTTATGAGAAGGGGAGGGGTAAAATTGCAGAGGTCGGACAAACACTTGACGGCAGTTACTGCAGCTCCTCAGACCCCGGACAGCCTCTGTGGTCCTGTGCCAAAGATTGCAGATTTGGTTTGGTCAGTCCAGAGTTGAAAAGGCAGAGCAGAGCTGCTCAGGTCAAATCAGATGCTTAACTCTGTTTACATTTTGTGATGGGTGGGGAAGTTCAGTAAAAATTAGGATAAAAAAGAACAGCAGAAAAGAAAGACTAATGGGAAATTACATACTGAAAGTGTCAGCCTCCCTGTGTCACATCATCTGAGTTTGGATATCAGTTAATGGCTGAGGCAGTTTCCCAACTCAGCCTACTCAAATTATCTAGAAGTGGCAAAAAATTTGAAAGTTCTGTTTCCTTGGAACACACTATATCCCCAGCTTTGTGGCCAACACACATAGCACAGCTTTTGTATCTTACAATCTATTACTTACAATCTATTACTAGTCTGATGCTAGAACAGAGCTCATACTCTGGAGGGATGAAACTAGTCCAAATGATAACAACTTAAATGGTACTAAAAATTAAAAAAAAAATGTTCATACAGATATTCTTTACTTATGTGTCTGACAGAAATTCCTCTGTGAGAAAAGAATTTCAGGCTGTAATGGAGGAGTCAGATCTCTACTGGTTCCAGCCTTCTCATTGACTCAATGCTTATGGAGCATGCATATAATGGTTTTTCCCCTGAGAAATCAAACTTATCCTAAAATGCCATGGAATTAAAGGGATGAATTCCCCTCCTGCTTACCTCTGCCAGAACACCCCTCATGTTAACAGCTCTCTGCAGCAAAAATAAAACAAACTGTCCACTATCATCCTAAGTGTATGAAAGAGAAAGAGCTTTTCTGTGCATTGGGGTTTATTATTATCTAAAGCACTGGAGTTATTCTGGAAAAAGAAATCAGGCATTGAAAATCTAAGTGGAGGCCTGAATAAATAATTTGAGGCTGATATGAAGGCTCATGTAAACTGAGCAATGTATATCTGAAAAAGCAGTGGTTTGGTTCCCCTCCACCAACCCACCTCTCAGGAAGGGATACATGCCAAAATACTGACACCAGGTACTTAGAAGCAAAAGGAGCATGCTGCAAATGGAAACTTGTAGGCAGCAGATAGTGCACAGTAGACTTTATTGTCTACTAGCTAGGAGCCAGAAGAATTAAATGTATAAACAGAAGCAATAACCTGGTGATGGGCAACACCCCAGAAGTTCAGTCTGGAGACAATATCACAGGTTATTTGAAAAATCTTCCCTGGAGCTGGGGTGGTAATCTCTTCTGAGCAAACATTTCTAGTAAACACAGACCTTCCTGGGTTGGACTCTGCAGGAGCTCTGCCAAGGAGACCACTCCTTTTTGTCTCAATGCAACTCCTTTCATGGGGAGTACAGTCCAGGGACAGATGCTCAGCTCTCTGTAGAGCCCCCCTTGTGCAGACGATTCACCATGTGACTACCTGGTAGCTCAGATGAACATGGAAGACAGGAAAATGCCACTGAGTCCCAGTAAACAGATCAATTTGCAGAAAGGATGAGTAACCATTAACCTCTTTTCTTGAAAGGAAAGAAGTGGAAAGCTGGAGCAGCTGGGGGCTGTGATAGAGAGGGTGCAACAGAAAATCGCTAAAGACTTTATTCCCGGCTGTCTCTGCTTTATGTGTCCCCATGTTGTGAGGTGTGGAAATACTGGGACCATTTGCATGACAGGAGGAAGAAGAGGCAGGCAGAATAGCTGCCATGTAGGAGGTATATTTCAAGACCGGTTTGTCAAATACGTTTTGCATATACATTTAGCCACAGACAAAAGGAAGTAATTCATTCGCCAGTTCCTGTGGTGAAAATTACTTCAAGACTTATTCCATGCCCATGTGCCAAGCACACTCCTGATACAAATCCTACAGTTACACACCCAAACACACGCATGAGCACACGCGCTCCCACATGCAGAGAGATCCCATCAGTGGCACTAAATAACTTATGAAAATGGTTAGTTATGTTTTATCTGGAACAAAAATTAAATCTGGATGTGAAAAGACAATCAAAAAAGCCATCATGTTGAGACTCTTGAAATAGGAAACATCTGTCTGGGGAGAAGGCACCACCTGCCCTGACACTGAGCCATGGTGCGAGGAACTGTGTGCCCGAAACATGACTCTCTGCAGAGAGCTGGGGACACAAGTCACCTCACCTGAATTTGTATTTTCTCATCCTTATCATCCTGGAATACTATACATCCATGAGTATTTGTACAGTGCTCTGCATGCTCCACCAGCACTATCATGCCCAACAGAAACAGAAAGATGGCTGAAAATGAGAAGGCTCAGGGTAGTTATATGGGAGCTCCATCAACAAAATCATTATTCAGCATGGGAAGTGGTTATGATGTTTGGCTGTGGTGACACATTTGAGCTCATGGGAGTTGGGGCTTCCAGGTAGGCTACAAAGAAATCTGGTCTGCAATGAATGTATCTTCAGTTCATCATAGGCAACGGGAGAAATGGTTCATCTGAAATCCATGAGATTTGGAAGGCCCTCATCTGAAACACAGGCTTGTCAGAATCTATTTTCCAGAGGTTCAAAGAACATAAAAAAACAAACAAACAAACAAACAACAAAAAAAACCAAACAAAAAAAGCATACAGCATAAGCAAAGGAACAAGAACATGAGAGAGAGCAGAAAGGGGAAATCTTGTGCTGAAGGAAACGGACAAGTTGTATTTTTGGCTGTATGTTTCACTGTAGAAAGGAAACACAACATAATGGACACACTAGTGCTCCAAAAACCACATCTCAGAGATACCATTAGCTCAGGAGGTTCACAGCATATATAAGCTGAAAAAGACAAATATATACTTTGTGTAATCACAGTCTGAGTAAAGACTGCAGAGACCATTACCACACCAGAAGGATAACTCAGCCAACCACAGTCTCATAGGTTATAAAAAACTGCATTCAAGAAAGTCAAATAGGCTCCACAGAGCTTTTGAGATGACAGAAATTACAGGAAAGCAAAAGCATTTCTGAACTGAAGGGACAAATCCTGACCCACCAGTCCTACAGAATAGCATAAGCTATGCATAATTATCTGAGGACAGAGACATAAAGAACAAGAAAATAAGGCTGTTTAAAGCCAATAATTGTTTCCTATGCTTTCACAGAGCTGTGCTGAATAAAATGCATTTGTTACATTATGACCGTGGGTCACAGAAACCATAGTAAGGGAGGAAAATGCAGGAAGATTATATGTTGCAAGGAGACATAGCTGCACTAAAGATGAACATAAAAAGCAAAACTGAATAGAGATCTAGAATTTCTAAATTACCCTTGGCCCAAATGTCTGGCTTACCACTGAAATAGTATAATTATAAAGCTGGCATAAAAAACAGGACATGGATCTAGTTACTAATTTCTTACTAGCAATAGCAGCAAAACAGTTTCTGCCAGTAGCGGGTCTCTTGACAAAAACCTTGTGTCTTCTACACGATGTGACCTATAGGGAAAACTGTTTTTAATCAGGCAAATCTATAAATGGTATGCAGTTGTGGTTGGTCTTCTCAGATGTCAAAAGGAACAGAGGAGAAAGTGGAGGAAAGGGAGGGGGGGATATTCACTGTAATTTCTCATTTAACACTTCACTTTCTCTGAAATGCACAGTGGAATTTTGCAGATTTAGGAGGTTGATTTTGTCATGCAGGCCAGTGATGGCAACAGTGTCACCACACAAGCCAGGTGAAAAAAATAAGTTAAAAAACCCCCAAAACTCTTTCTAGTAGTATTGTTTTAGCCCATGTGCTCCACTTCAACTTTGACTGCAAATACAGGGGCCTTTTCATTGCTGCCATTCTGAACTCAGTCACTCTAATCTCTGTTTTCCAGTACACACTTAAGCCTAAGCACATGAGCTACACCACTAAAGTCAATGGCACAGTTCCGTGCCAGGATGTTAAGCATGTGTTCAGGTGTCTCACTGGGTCTGTCCAAAGAGTTTGGACAGAAAATAATTCTAAATAGTTTTCTTTTCCTCTAGTAGGCGTCCATGAAACAGCAATCAGTGGAGTGAAATAACATTTAAATGTCTTACACCATATCATAGCCTATAAATAGTGTAAGGTTGTGTGGAGATTTTTGTCTTGCCTTTTTACCAGTGAAAAGTTTTCTTCAACAAAACTGAACTTTTTTGCCATGTTTCTGCTTTTTCCTGAGGTGTTCAAGCTTTTGACAAAAATCTGAACTCTTAAAAACCTAATAGCTTGGCTGCCCTGAAAAATGCAGAGTTTATGGTTAAAAAACCTTTTAATCTTCTGATGAAAAGACAAAATTTTGTGCGGAGTCAAATCCAAATCATTCAGCTATTGAGCTGAACACATTTTCCCAGGAGACACATGGCAATTAGATTAGTATTAGAAGGGCATAGCCCCTTTCATGTCACCAATCCAGTTCTAACCTCTTTTTTGCAAACCTGTGATCTATACTTCATATTTAAAATGTCATTTATTTATGTGTGTGTGTGCATATTGTGTATATGTATTTCCCTGTTATTCTGCCGTGGGTATGTTGGGGGCCTTCCAATGCCCAAGAGCTGCCAGGGTGCTTAAGCATTTATGACCTGTGATTCAGAGTGGGTCTGAAGGTCATTAAAGACTGGGTGAGGAAGCAGTTCACGCGACAGCCAGTTTACCATGATTGATTCCTGTGCTGTAAAATATTATGAAACTTCCCCATTAACTCTTTTTCTCTGCAGAGGGCCTACAAGTGCTGGTGAAATCCTTGAGGAGCAGCTGTGTCAGAGCGTGGGCACAGGCAGCACTTGTCCCACCAGCTTTTCCAAATGGTTTTCTGAGTAATGTCACAACACTGCTGCGATGTTGAAAAAAAAAGGTCACCGAGGCTGATAGATAATGATTTTCAAAAACAAACAAAACCCATGAGTTGAAGAAATATTTTTGCTCTTAAAAAAAAAGTCTACATGCAGCTCCACAGCCATGCAATAAAAGGGGTCATTGAACTGTGCTGTGATGATGTTATCTTACCAGGCTCACGGACAAAGGTGATCCATGAGCACCTCCTCCGTCCTGCACTGAACAAAACAGATACAACAGCACTGCAGAGGTCCAATGATGATCACCCCATGCTGCCTGCATGTCTCATCCCATTCTGGATAGAGTTACAATTTTCTCAGGACAGATGAATTAATTCCTTTCAGACATTATTGGCAGAGCCTTGTCCCAGTGGTGTCCATCTACCTGTAGCCTGGGACTGTCCTTTTATGCTGCGCCAAGGCCACAGCCCATTCCATATCATCCTTTCTTCCAAAAACCCTGACCCTCTAACAGACATGCATTCATCAAACAACAAAAAAGCAGGTGTCTCCCAGCACTCTACACAGGTGAGAGAAAGCAACTTGCTTTCATTCCTCAGCACGTGTTTAGACATAATGCACCCAGCAATAAGACCTCACATATGTAATCTATTGCACATGTATATTTTGCCATAAGACCAGAAGTGCACTGTAACGTGATCAAGGACGTTTGGGTTTTGGTGACACAATAAATACAGTTGTTTGCATGGCCAAAAAAAAAAAAAAAGGAGGAAGGAAAAAGGGTTCTGGCATAAGACTCAAGTATTTCCAAAGGAGAGGGAGGCTGTTCCTCTCTCATATCTACCCCAAAGTAGAAAAATCACCATCTGGCATAGTCCTAAAGGAATAAGCAGGATCACCCAAAGAGCAAGACCATTTGTGAACAAAAGCAACAGAATCTAATCTTTAATAC